ATGCTTGATTAATTTAATTATTCGTTATTAATTATTGACGATAACACATATTAATATAATATATATTGCGTATATGGGATGCAAAAAATCAGACTTTAAATTGATATAAAATACTTACTTGATAGTTATATTTTTATATTATTATAATTTGTATGACATTTTGATCAACGCGCCTTAGGAATGTAGGATAATAGATTCATGTCGTATTTGCTGAGATTAATTTTCATCGTGATATTAAATATTTGCACTAGGTGGATGGCGCCATAAAAATATTATTTTTTCAATTTAAATATAGGACACGTTCTCATGCTTATCAATTACAAACATAATATGTCAATAAAAATAGATATTATATTATATACCTATTATATAATAGGTATTTTATCATGAGCATCTGTAAGTCACGTTTCGAGTCTATAAAAACGTCATAAAAAGTTAATATTATTACGTTTAAAACCGAAATCTAGTTGCGGCGGGACAAATGTTACGTGAAGGAAAACTGCACGTACGACGGCGATGCAGCAGTATTATACCGGTACATGATTATACCAGTACATGATTATGACGGCCATTTTGAAAAAAATTACGTCGTCCTACGCACGAGGATATGTTTTGCAAAAATCGTCGGAGTTCTCAAATTTAGTCAAATGTACAACTTACAACATAATATAGAACTCGAACATGACGTATACTAGTCGTATTAAGTAGTATGATACCAGTCGTATTATACAGAAATCGCGCGTATATTGAGCTGTATATGCATAACGCATATATTTATGAAACAGGGATTACGGGCGGGAATGTCATACTGTCAAATATATTATAATTTATAATATTATATATATCTATATATTTTACGAAGGCGGTTTATCAAATACAATAATATTATAACATTATACGCAATTATTACCATGAACGTTTGCATTAATATTGTATTATTGTGCTGCTTTGAATGTGTGTATAATAATATACCTAATGGCTAATATGATATCGATGCGATTAAAACGGTCGGCAGCTGTCGCCCTTATAATATATATTGTAATTTATATTATATTATGGACAGCGTTGATACCTATGTATTAAATTGTGTAATGTTATTTAGAGCAATGTATATTATATTAAATATATTATATTAAATATATATTATTATTGTAATATTATAGTATGATAATTTGACGAGCGCAGTGTTATACAAAGATAACACAACATTTTAAGATAATCAAACATATCTAGATAAAAAAAAAAGATAATTTAAAAATTGCATATTTTGTGAGATACCATTTTTGATAAAAATTATCATAGTGTATACTATATTGTATTATATAAGTTAATACGTAAATATTTAATAATATCGTAAATACGTGTGATTTAATTAAGATACCGTGATCGGCGTTTACCAGAGAATAAGCAAAATAACTTCAGTAAAACACAAGTGATAAAAAAAAATAAATATTCGTTTAAAACGAAGTATAAATAAAATAACTCCCCTTTATCACTTCTTAACGGGAAAAAAATATGTGTCTATGACCAAAATTGAAAAATATGTTGAGACATAAAATAATTTTATTACAATATTATTGTCCACATAATTTAGTTCCGATATCCACCACTTTATAAATAGATAATAAAACGATACTTGAAATTATTTTTATCTAGATAATTCATAACGCTGGGCCGACGAGTATCTATTTATAATATTATATTGTCGCAATATATTACAATAATGGTTGCGGATATTAATATTAGTCGTCAGCGTTAAATTTACAAACGAACAATAGCTGTGTCACGGATTAGCTAGATCCACTCATGCAGCAGTTTAATATGGGAATGCCGCTACAGCTATTTTATGTATATAAATAAACTAAAATATTTTATTGTTATTATAATGGAACAGAATACTGGGTCACGCGAATTGGCGAAAAAAAAAACTCCAAGAGGAACCGGCGGCGGCGTGGCGAGAAAGTCGTAAAACAATGCGTTTGCGTAATAATCGATCGGCGTGAAAATAAAAACGTAACGCTTATAATATTGGAAACAATTAAAATAACGACGGTCGGAGATTATAACAATAATATTATTATTATTATATATAGTTGGCCTTCGTCTTAAACCGGCGAAATAATGTGTAAATACATGACGACGTCCAGGAAAACCGATTTATTCGGGTGCAGTCGATGTCATTGTGTGTGATGAGTTGTTTTTCTCCGACAATGTTTGATTGGAAGCATGCCGGAAAACAGGAGGGAAGTATGATAGAAGACGAAAGAAACCGCGAATTTTATAAAATAATAATAATAATAATAATAATAATAATAATAATAATAATAATAATAATAATTAATAGTATATAGCTGCAGCGGCGGAGAGACGAAATGATAGGAATTAAAACAACGAAAAGGGGAAACGTCATCGCCACCGCGTCCACTCGTCGTCGTGTCATCGCCAAATCGGTTGCACATTCGAATCATCTCGGTACGGCAAATTCTCGGCAGAAAAGATGAACGAAAAAAAAATCAAAATATTATATTCGCGGTACCTAACAATAACTGTCATGGATAAAAATCGTCGTGCGCGTTCTTAACGACGTCCTCCCTCCCCTCTTTATCGACTCGAATCTCTAACCAACAGTGATAAAAAAAGACGACGATAACACAACAACAACAACAATAATAATAATAATAACGAAAAGAACAGTAAAAAAAAGGAAATTACTGTAATAATTATTCTACCGAAAAAATGTTCCACGCGCCAATGTCTGATGAGGAAACCGCCGCGTGGCCGCGCCACCGTTGGTCGCCCGGCTGGTCGCGCGCTCCAGTGTATCGCCGCATACGTCTGTACGGAGCGCGCCAGTCACTAGTCAGTCCGGTGTCCGACGTCAAACTGTTCAGTACACGTACCGCCGCACGACCGTGTTCACTCGTGTTGTGTGTAGTCGTCTCTCTTACGTGTTTTGGTTTGTTTTTGTTTTTGTCGTCGAACGAGTGTGTACTAGTCGATCGTCACCTGCACTGTTTTTTTTTTTTGATTTATTGAAATTTTTGATTATTTTTTTTAGTGATCTAATAAAAAAAATTGTGATTTATTTAATAATAAATAAATAAAATCTTGTAATTACGAAATTATTAAAGTACCTAGTATTGTTATTATTAAATCGAGTTTCGTGCGCCAGATGCTTGCAGTGATCGTCGCCAGTGATTTTCGACGTCAGTGTCTCCAGGAGAAATATCGTTGATAACCGCGCGGGACTGTGTCTTCTCCGTACGGTGATCTTCAGCGCGTGTGTTCGCCGCCGCTGCGGGATCTCGTCGCGCGCAGCCGTCGCTGTCTCGCCCGATGGCTCTGAACGCCACTACGTGTTACAACAAGGCGGTGATCGCGGGCTACGGGTCGTCGTACCCCAGTCCGCTGGCCGCCTCGGCCGGCGTGCCGTCCGCCCTGATGGTGGCCGCGGCCGCCGGATCCGCGGGCGGATCGCCGTCGTCCCGATCCGGATCGTCCGGGTCCAGTAGCGGGCCGTCCGGGTACCGCGTCAAGGACTTCAACGTGCCCCTGCACGTTGACTGTAGCGTCGAGTACGAAATGCCAAGCTCGGCCAAACCGCCGGTGGGCGGTAAGGTCGAGCCGCTGCTCATGATCCACCCGTCGTATTACCGGAAGGCCGAGAGTCGGACCCGCAGCCTGTTCGTCAACAACATGCCTGCCGCCGCGTCCGCGTCGTCAGGCCGAAGCAGACCGTCGGCAGCCGCAGCCGCAGCCGCCGCGGCCGCGGTCGGTGGCGTCTGCGGTAGGTCCGGCGTCTCTGCCGCCATCGCGAACGCCGCCGACGGACCGCCGCCCGCGAAAAAACCGTATGCTGGACCGGCGCCCGGAGTGACCGCTTCCACCGCGGCCGGCGTTTACGGCATGGTCACCGGTGCCGTGGCCGCTGCCGCTGGCGCGTCCCAATGGCCCCCGTTGGGCTCCAGCGCCGAGCACCAACACCACGACGGCAAACGCACTCTGGACATGGTCCAACGGCAATACCAACAGCACCTGCAGGCCAGTCTGCCGCCACCGATGATGACGGCCGCCTTGCCTACAGACAAAACCCACATGACAGGTTAGTTGACGAATTCGAAGATGATATTATTATGATGGTATATCGTTATTATGATATTATATAGTAAAGTTTATGCGAAAAACTCGGTCGAATTTGACCAACGATAATTGCTACTGCGGTCGCGCGAACGGTTCTGTCCCGTTTGTGTGCTGTATGTTGATGGGAAGAGAAGTGGTTTCGATGAATGGAAATGTTGAAAAACTGCGATTTTCTCATCTTTAAATACGATTAAAAATCACATTTTTTCGTGTATTAAAATATAGTCTTCCGGAATGTGTTCGAATATTTTCGACGCCGGGTAAACATTATACTTTCGTCTTAAACTCCATTATCGCTACCTCTCGGGCTATATCGTATTTCTCTTTTTCGCGCTATTTGTCATTCCTTCTATCGTTGTTGGTTATTAAAAACGGGAATTTAATCTTGTTTTTGGTCCTCGTCAGTCGTTTCTACGTCGTGTTCGTACGTGTTTTTTCGCCCGCATTTTTGTCATATCACTGCTCCAAATTTTTCGAAAAACAAAAATAATAAATAGGTGGGTACCAAAAGAAAAATGTTTAATTTCATATCGCTATCAGATTGGTGACGCCCTTTTCTCTTATCGTCGTCCTAGGTAGAAAACAATTGCAACGAGTTTTCTGATAAATATATAATATTATATTAAATTCGCCGAAAAAAACGCGTACACCTCAAACACAAAAACCAATTATGTCTTACCGTTTCGTTTTTGGCTCGTACATATTATAACTTTTTTTTACGAGAGAGCATTCCGTTTCGTTTTGCATTTGTACGGTTCGACGGTGGAACGTGCGAAAGTCGGAAAAACGGAGGGTCGCCTGTACATTGTAATGTTAAAAAAGTTTATCAAAAAAAAAAAAAAACTACCAATTTTTTTAGCGTATTGTCGGTGAACGAAAAATTAGTATTCCTCCGGTGCGAGGGGGCATTTCGTTCGCACAAAGAACGCAAGTCAGTGTCACGATGGCGGGGGACGGGAAAGAGCAGGGTTTTTTATTTTTTTTATCACATTCACGTCCGTAATTAACGTTGATTTATTGGTCCGAAAAAGAGAAAAAAGAATTAGGTAAGGGTATTATAAAGAAGAAACCTTTGTTAATTATACACTGCAGCTCGAATTTAAAAAAAAAAAAAAAGTATACTCTTTGAAACCTGGACTGTGTGTAGGTATAATG